CCCCCCCCGCCGTTCCACACACTTGGAAGCTCCCTCCCTTCAAAGCAGTGACACTCCTGTATAATGTGTCAATAGCATTTTCTTGATTTTTCTTGTCAGAATAAGATTCCTTAAGTACCAACTGAACTGATCTTATCAATTCATTACAAACTTGATCAGGAAAGATCAGCTAATCTTCTCACCAAGCTCCTCACCCACTCTCTGGCTGTAAGACCTCCTGAACCCTTTGGTTCCACAACTTCAGTAGCAAAGTGTGCAGCAAAAAACAAGCCAACCAACAAGTGAAGGTAAGGCTGGAGGTGGCTCAGCGGTTAAGAGCACTGACTACTCTGGCAGAGGGCCAGGTTTGGTTCCCAGCACCCACATGGTAGCTAACAACCACTCGTAACTCCAGTTCCAGGAGATCTGATGCCCTCGTCTAGCCTCCATGGAGACTACACGCACAGGTGTATTACATACATGCAGACAAAACAGTCATACACGCTGGGTGTGGTGGTTTACACCTTCAATCCCAGCCCTTGAGAGGCAGAGACAGGTGGATCTCTGAGATCGATTCAGCCTGGTCTACAAAGCAAGTTCCAGGCCAGCTGGGGCTATGGGGAGACCCTATCTCAAAAAGACCAATCAAGAAACCCCCCCAAAAAACAAAAAACGCTCACGCACATAAAATAGGTATTTAAAAAAAATTTTTGAAGGCCAGGCGTGGTGGTGCACGCAGTTAGTCCCAGCACTTGGAAGGCAGAGGCAGGTGGATCTCTGTGAGTTCGAGGCCAGCCTGATCTACGTAGTAAACTCCAGGTCAGTTGGGGCTACAGGGAGACCCTGTCTCAAAAAGACAAAAACAAATTTTTCGAACAGATAAAAGAGCCAAGTGGATGAAATGGCTGCTGCAGCCTGAGAACGAGGACAAAGCTCGAGACCTCTCCTCTGCTCCAGGCCCAGAACCTCCAGTCTACCAAAAGGCAGCTCAAACCAAGAGAGTGCCACCACTGCCAGCCTGTGACCTGACATTGTAACCTCACCTCCATCAGCTCCAACATGATCACACTCTGTTCACAGGTTGGTTAAGCTGTTACAACTCAGTTCTCAGTACCTGGTGTGGTCAGTATGAGCTACTCCTGATTATGAGATAATCGTCCCAACTCTACTTCAACAACTGACTCTGGAATAGGCAGCATCCAGCCCTGCACACCCATCAGAATGCATCACAGGAGACAGAGGGCACACACTGAACCAGCAACACTACTGGACGGAGTTCATTCTGGCTCAGAACTCGCTTTGGAGCCAGGCTGGGCGCTCCACCCTTCACCCAGCTCAAGGCAGCACAGTCTACAGGCTGCAGCAGAGCAGCTCAGACCTTTTCAGACAGGCTGGACTTGATGACCGTCAGGAGTCTGTAAATGTATGTGGGTTCAAAGGCAGTTCCTGGGCGGATGTCCCTCAGGATTTTATCCCCAAGAGCTGTAAAAGAAAGACACAGACTCTAATAACTAAAAGGACATCGTAAGGACAAGAAGCAAAGTAACCTAAACTCCCTACATCCCCTGGAGGGAGGCTAAGTGCAGCATAGGGGGACCACCTCTATTTAAAAGGACATTTCCTGTCCAACAAGCCCACATTTACCAAATGCAGCTATCTGGCTCCATGTTCCCAATGACAAGGTACCACAGGTATTCACTCTAACTCACCTTGGCGGGGCTTGGGAGGTACTGGCATATTAGTAAACTCGTTCATTAGCCGAACACTAAACAGAAAGAAAAACAAAGTGAAGCCATGCACGCTTTCAGAGTGGGCCTTGGCGCTCAGCAGAGCATGTATCAATCAATGCTGTAACACCCAGTGAATTCTTTTTATCTATACACATTTTTTGGCATATTTTAAGGCAGTGTTTTAAGTATCAAACAGTACAAGGTTTTCTACTGAATCTGAAGAACAGATAAGCAATGTTCAATTCCACTTCTAGTTAACTTCCATAAAAAGCCAGGAGCAAAGCCTTCCTTTAAGAGAATCCTGGCAAACATCTCTAGGAAACTGAGACCCTAAGGCTGAGGCCCAGCTTGGCAGGCACTTGTGTGGCCCCCAGGGGAAGCCCCCCAACCCAAGCATGTGTGTGAGTGCTTTACTTACAAACTATCTATCATGGGCGTGGATGTGCAAGGCCTTTGCACTTTTGAGTACAGAGGAATGAACTTCATCAGGTGGTACATCGGAGGGCAAGCCACCAGTGCCTGCAGCGTCTAAATGTCGGCAGTAAGGAAGCGTAAAGGAAATGAAACAGACAGCGGACTTCCTAAAGGCATGTTAATACAAGAGCACACAAAACCGAAATAAGCCCAGGATGCTAACGACTAAGATATGTAAACACAAAAAGGAATAAACCAAATAACGCCAAGGACGGCTGCCTCACAATGGGTTGTGGCCAAGAACCTCGTTCAGCCAAGATGCCCCCATCAGTTAGAACGAAGCTTCCAGTTCTAAGTGGTCACTCTGTCCTATTTAGGAGCACTCCAATGAGAACAGAATTTGCCTGATTCTGTTCTGAGTACCACTGTCTAGGAGGTAGGCAGAACAAGTGATGACCCAGTTTCTGGATCCAAAGTTCAGGCTGGCTGTCTTATGGGAGTTGCAATAAGTCAGATGCACTCAGAGAAAAGACCCCTGTGGTCACCCGGCCGGGACGGCATCCAGGAAGGATACGGCATTAATGTAGCACCAGTTCCCTTTATTGATCAGCCCTCGGGGTTGCAAGGACACTGGCTTATGTATTAGGGTTACATTCTCCAGTAACTCTGCAAGAGTGGGGATAAACGGAAGAGATTAACAGCATTCTAGTAACATTCAGATCCACACAGACACTAAGAAATTCTTTCATAACAAAAGTCACAGTACTAGAACTTCAGACAGTTCAACATCAAGGTTATTTCATGTTAACTAGTACTTTCCTCCAAACACCACATTGACTTAGCTTCCTGTGGCACGCACTAGGAAGCTCAATCACATTGGCAATAGAAGACAGAGCTGGAAGTCATGAGCTTTTTCCCTTTGAGTCTGGCAGCAGCCTCAGCAACAGCAGGGTCCCTTGGACACTAGATTCAAAGGCAGGTGAGAAGCAGGTGGTCTCCATGTCTAAAACTCTAGCAACTCACACAATTCCCGGCACTTGAGGGTGGGCGCTCAATAGCTACATAGCAGGTAAAGGCACTCCTTATGGTGACAACTGTCTCCTAATCACAGTGGTTCCTGTTTGTCTAATTCAGCCACTGCTATCTACACTGTTGCTCCTCATCCCAGTCAGAAGCAGTTTCTTACCCCCGGATCTGCCCTCTAAAATAATCTTTTCTAGTTTTAAGAAAACTAGGAATGGTAGCTCTCTAAGATAGACCACAAGAACCTCCCCACCCCAACGAAATTCTGATACTCCCTCACTATGTCGTTCTCAGATATCACACAGTCCAGGTTGACTTCAAGCTCACAGCAATCCTTCTGCTTCAGTCCTGGGATTGCAAGTTGTACCACCAGGCCCAGCTAGAATTTTCTTTCTTTTTTTTTTTGACAAGGTCTCAACTGTGTAAGCCTGCAACTCAGAGACCCATGTGCCTCTCCCTCTAGAAGGCTGGGATTAAAAAGGCATGTGCCACACCTAGCTTTAGAAATGCTTTTTAAAAACAAGCAAAGAATTAATCCCAGCACTTGGGAGGTAGAGGTAGACAAATCTATGTGAGCTGGAGGTCAGCCTGATCTACATAGCAAGTCCTAGGATGGCTGGTGGCTACAGGGAGACCCTATCTCAAAAAAAACAAAAACAAAAAACCACAAGGAAGCCAGGTCCTTGTAATCCCAGCACTTGGGAGGTAGAGGTAGAAGGATCAGGAGAAAAAGGCCAGCTCCAGCCTCCACAGCAAGTTCTAGACCAACATGGACCACACCAAGAGCCTGTCCAAAAACCGCCATGTCCCACAATGAACACCCTCCTCACACTCAGTAGCCCATGGAGGTTTAGTTTGCCTGTGACACAAAGTCTAGGTTCCATGATCAGAGCCTGAAAGCCCTGTGCCTCACAGCATCACCTACACTTTCAAACTGTGTCACAGGAAAGAAACACTCATGGGCACACAGTTATATTCATGTCCATCCAAGGCACCAAAAACCTTTTCTTAAACAGTTGTACTCACTGGTCCCAGACTGGTGTCCAAATCAGATGAGGAAATTGCTCTGCGTAGTTCAAAGGTCAGCACACATGCACTTTCCTCCCTTCCCAAGGAACCAGGGGGCATAATTTTTCACATGGCTTGTCTTTTTCAGAGCGTAAAACCGTTATAGGCTCAAGAGAAGCAGCAGGCATCCAGTTAGAGTGTGTAGAGAGGACACAAGACCTAGGACCTGAATGAGGAGCAGATGGGGTACAGAACTGAACCCCAAAAAGAAACTTGCTGACACCTCTCACTAGTGCCTGGAGATCTACCTTATGAACATTTACAACCATAGTGACTCTGTCAGAGGCAGTGTTAGCACTCACTCCATCTTACAGATGAAAACATGGAGATCATGTCCCTGAACCTGAGTCTGGGCAGCCTCTTTCCTCTCTACAGTGTACTGGGTACTACTTTAAGTCTCTTCACAGAGCTGGGCGTGGTGACGCACACCTTTAATCACAGCACTTGGGAGGCGGAGGCAGAGGCAGGCATATCTCTATGAGTTCAAGCCCAGCCTGGTCTACATAGTGAGTTCCAGGCCAGCTGGGGCTACAAGGAGACCCTGTCTCAAAAAGAAAAAAAAAAATCTTCATAGGCTGCTGATATGGACAGTGGGTAAAGGCACTCACTGTCAAGGCTGACCACCTCAGTTCTACCCCAGGACCCACATGGTGGAAGAAGAGGGCTGACTTTATAACCTGGCCTCCACCCGTGCTTGTGCCTGCGCACGCACGCACGCGCACGCGCACACACACACACACAATCTCCTTTAAGCTCTACTCCAAGGTGTTGGACACCCACTCCCCACTCAACACTGAACACCCACTCTACACTGAACACCTACCCACTCCCCACCCTACACTGAACACCCACTCTACACTGAGCACCCACTCCCACTGTACACTGAGCACCCACTCCCACTCTACACTGAACACCCACCCTACACTGAACACCCATCCTACACTGAACACCCACTCCCACTGTACACTGAGCACCCACTCCCACTCTACACTGGGTTCATCCTGGCCTTTGAGCTGTAGCTTCACAAGGCTCCAGTTTCCACTGTGTGTCACAAAACTGCTTTTATTCACTCTAGCCACCAAAATCTGTGTATGTTCAAACAAACACCAATGCCCTGACACAATGGCATCAGGTCTCAAAGCAGAGTCAGGCCCATGATCTCTGTCCCATCCAACAACCACCAATATGAAGTTCACACGTGGCTGGAAGACTTGGGTCTTCCTACCAAACTGGACAAACACCTGGTGCGCCTGCCCTGTCTGGCACAGGTGATGCAGGTGACCCTTCTCTATACTGGCTCATAGACAAGTGTTGAGAGGGACTGTCCCAGGCGGGAGTGGTACAGACTGTGGGCTCAGCTGAAGGTGGCTGGAGACAACGCACGTCTACCAGGAGGACACAAAGATTCTGGTCTTCTTTGTGTAGTAGTTCAATAGCGCGTCGTCCAGTCTTGGATCAGCAGGTGACACCACAAATGTGCACTACACTCACAGACCAGACAGTCACACAAGCCCCTCAAGCCCCTCAGGAGCCTCAGGTCTGGATGTGCCAGTGCACTGGGAAGCCTGGCCAGGGAGTGAGACAGCACCACAGGAGGGAAGGAACCAGAGAGGAGGTGGGCCAGACACGCCCAGCTTTCTGGGTGGGAGAAATACTGTCTACTTTCCTGACTGTACGTGAAGCAATGTCTTCTGGGGTTGGGGAAGGTGTGACATGAGATGTGGGTGGGATAAAATGCCACTCACACCTTCTGAGCAGAGGCACTAGTGGCAAATGGAAAAGGCCGACCAGGGATAGGCAGAGGGCTCTCGGTGAAGCTTCCCTCATGATCACTGTTCTGAGACGCTTCAGAACTATGACTGCAGTGGACTGGGGAGAAGTCTCTGGGGGTGAACATGCTTCCCATGCAAGACTGAGGGCCTGAGTTCAGATTCCTGGAATCTACATTAAATGCTGGATGTGGGAGTACTCACCTGCAATCCCAGTGTTCCTACGGAGAGATGGGAGGCTGAAACAGGAGTATCACCCTGAAGCCTGCAGGCCAGTGAGCCTGTCCTCCAACCCCACCCCTACACATGCCTTAGCACGAATGCAAAGGCACTCACACATACCACACACACAAACACACAAAGTAATTAGGACTCTGAATGCACAGCATCATTTTTAAAAAAGCACCATTTAGCTGAGTGTGGTGGCTCACACCTTTAATCCCAGCACTCGGGAGGCAGAGGCAGGCGGATCTCTGTGAGTTCAAGGCCAGTCTGGTCTCCATAGAGAATCCAGGCCAGCTGCAGCTACAGGGAGACCCTGCCTCAAAAAGACAAAAAGCACCATTTATGACAAACCTGATTTCTTCTCAGAAGGTATGAAACAATCATCATGCATCAAGGCTGCACTTGCTGCACTAACTCCTGGGAATAAGCACCTTTCACGGTGCTGAGAACCGTGGGCCAGAGACCAAGCTGCCCGAGGGTGTCTACAGACACTAGAGCCCTGCGTACCTGAGGACACATCCAACCTGAGGCCAACTGGAAAGGATTTTTTGACCTGGGAAACCACACGGTCACGTGGGTTTCTCCATCACTGTCCCTGGAGGAGCAGCAAGTAAAGACGGCTCTAGGGTTGCTGCGGGTGACAAAGCTAACCTCTTGGCACCACCTAGTGGTCTGTTCCATGACTACAGGCACACAGGCACTTGGGAAATCCAACCCCAAACTCCATACAGGCCATCAGGACAAGTACATACTGAGGCCTGTATCATCCTCTGAACTGGCCCTCTGCTACAATGTCCTTAGATGCAGGATAACTCTTCACAGACAGACTGAGAAGAATCTAGATTTTTCTTAAAGATTCTTATTCCAGAAAAATCCCTCTAGTGGTATTTCATAAAGTAAAATACAGCATCTGTTATTCAGGTGTTCTGATGACCCCAAGCCCTATTGTCTAAGAATGACTGAGAAGAGTCTCCTCCCTTAAGGCACCTAAGGAGGCCACACTGATTGCCAGTGCTGTCTACCTTGCATTAGTGCAGGACCCTCAGTACCAACTCTAGAGAGAACTCTGTGGCCACGGTGAGAGGACGTGAAGGCCCGGCCCCATCTACTGCAGCCTTCCTTGCTGTCCGCACAAGCTCTCTCCTCCCTGGGCCTCTCCCTTCCTGCTAATAAGAGTTGCTGTCTGTTCCTTTTTAATCTCACGCCTTAAACTGCGCTCCAGGCCAGGCCAAGCGATTCTTCCCGCCCCAGATAGTGCACGACACATTGCGTACAGGTCAGACTGCCATGCAGGGGATTAAACATTTGGAGATTTGAGCCATTCCACTCCAGCTTGTCAGAAATGGCCCAAAAGAAATCCCAGGCTGGCGAGACGGCTCAGTGGGTAAAGGCACTTGCCACTAAGTCTGATGACCTGAGTTCAATCTCTGGAACGCACACAGTGCAAAGAGAAATGACTCATGAATGCTGTCCCCAAATCACCTCCACACGTGCACATGCTCCTGAGTGTCCGTCCCTGCATATCCACACAATAAATAATCTAAATTCCCTAAAATCAGAACTCTGGAATATCTTGTGACTACTTACATTTCATTTCAGAAGAAATGGGAGGCTATAAAACTGATTCAGGTTGGGGCTGGAGAGATGGCTCAGTGGTTAAGAGCACTGATTGCTCTTGCAGAGGACCCAGGTTCAATTTCCAGCACCCATATGGTGGCTACGAACTGTCCTTAACTCCAGTTCCAGGGGAATCCGAAGCTCTCTTCTGACCTCCACAGCATTGCCCAACACAGGTACACTCACATACATGCAGGCAATACACTCACACACATAAAATAAAAATAATATTTTTTTAAAAAACTGGTGGCCGGGCATGTTGATGCGTGCCTTTAATCCCAGCACTTGGGAGGCAGAGGCAGGAGGATCTTTGTGAGTTCAAGGCCAGCCTGGTCTACATAGTGAGTTCCAGGACAGCTGGGGCTGCAGGGAGACCCTGTCTCAAAAAGACAGACAAAAAAACAAAAACAAACAAACCTGATTCAGGTTGAGTACCTTCTGCTTCTGGTTTTCACCTCTGATCAAACACCTCCATCGACAGCTCCTCTTGTGTAACATGCTGTGCCTTGACTCCCACCAAGGATCAGTGCAGCTCCCTAACCAGGGGACTCCACTCATTCATAGTCTAATCCACTGAGCACTACAATTATGGAAGTCTGAAGAATCAACAACAACAAAGACCTGAGAGAGAAGTCAGGGCACCTCTGACCTGCTGGGTCCTCACTACTGGCTTCCCGAACCTGGCTTCCCTTAGAGTGAAAACCAGAAGCCGACTGCTACACTCAAGCCAACTCTGGGAAGGTGGTGGCCCCCAATCCATCTTTCTCCCAAGAGTCATGAGTCGGTGGGGCTGCCGAAAACGACATTTACAGAGCGGCAAGAAATGCCAAAATGACTCAGAAAGGATACAAAATTGAAACCAGTTGTCTCTACTTTTGTAAAGGCTCAAACATTAAAAGTGGAACAGAGTCCAGCTTTCCCATGTGATCTGTTAACACAGAAAACCAAATTGCTTAATTTCCTCTCTTCGATCAGTACACTCGAAGTCCACCTAAGATGACTCAGACATGGCAATGTTGGCACTGCGAACCACACCGTGTGAGCTTAACCTATGTGACTAACACATTCTTTCTGCATCAGTTTGCTTCCTAAAACGAGGACTTGTGGTCCTACCACCACGCAAAATCTAAAACATGCAACTAGCTACCCTCACTCCAGTCCACCCTTTTGCCTCTTCCCGCTGCCCAGACAGCCTGGCTTCCTTCTCCTCACTCTAGTCATGGGAAGAATATGGGCTACCTTGGCTCCTACCCAGGGAAGACAACAAAATGACCAAAACCACCAACAGCGCAAGGTCTGACGTTGGTTCTTCACAGCAGCAGGGACACGCACTCGTGCAGTCAGCTACGGACTGTAGTTTCCTTTTGTTAGGACTGTATTTGGGCACTTGCTGGGTCTCCCTGGTTTTCTGGCACGTTTACATTCCTTTAAAGCCGATGCATGATTGTAGGATGTCAAATACAAAATACATCCTTGTGTTTTGGAACCATTCGACAGTGTAGCTTGGGATCTGACTTAAGTTCCTCAGTAAAAAACCAGAACGACTGAGTGCATTCAAAGTAGGCGTGTAGTGACAACAGGTGTGCAGACTCTGGGGCCTGTGCTCGTGGAGGAAGGCCCAGCAGACAAGCCTATACTTCCCCACTCACCTTGCTCCTGAATCTGTGTGGGTGGTCCTCCGCAGCCCATGGAAGAACAATTCAAGAATTTGCATGTCATCCGTACACAGGGACCATGCTAATCTTCTCTGTAGCATTTCAATCATGAACTTTTTTTTGGTCTTTTTGAGACAGGGTCTCCCTGTAGCCCCAGCTGTCCTGGAACTCACTATGTAGACCAGGCTGGCCTTGAACTCACAGAGATCCGCCTGCCTCTACCTCTCAAGTGCTGGGACTAAAGGTATGCGCCACCATGCCCGGCAATCATGATCTTTTAAAAAAATGTTATATGTATGGGTGTTTTACCTGAATGGATGGAAGGGCAACTATGTCATGCAATGCCCACAGAGGCCAAAAGGGGGTGTGGGATCCCCTGGAACTGGAGCTATAACAGGTAGCTGGGTATTGGGAACTGAACCTGGGTCCTCTGTACAAGCAGCCAGAGTTCTTAACCGATCCAGTCCAAGTGTGATCTTAAAAAACCATAACTTAAGTTGGGCATGGTGGCGCATGCCTTTAATCCTAGCACTCGGGAGGCAGAGGAGAGGCAGGTGGCTCCCTGTGAGTTCGAAGCCAGCCTGGTCTCCATAGCAAATTGAGGACAGCTGTGACTACAGGGAGAGCCTGTCTCAAAAAGACCAAAAACCAAAGCAAACCATGACTTAGGCATGGTGGTACTCATCTTTAATCCCAGCCCTCAAGAGCCAGGAGCAGGCAGATCTCTGTGAGACGGAAGCCAAACTGGTCCACTGGGAGTCCCTGTCTCAAGAGAATGTGCCCGATTCTGAGCACTAAGGGTACCCTCATTCTGTCAGGACCCCAAGTGCTCCTAAGGCACATTCTTCGGAACTGGTCACCTAAAGACAAGCTTTTAGTGTTGGGTATATTTGCAGGGAGCTCCTCCGTCACTCTGACTTTTAGTGTTGGGTATATTTGCAGGGAGCTCCTCCGTCACTCTGACTTTTAGTGTTGGGTATATTTGCAGGGAGCTCCTCCGTCACTCTGACTTTTAGTGTTGGGTATATTTGCAGGGAGCTCCTCCGTCACTCTGACTTTTAGTGTTGCATATATCAGGAGGGAGCTCCTCCATCTCCATCACTCTGATTGACTCCCTACTTTCACTTTAAACATAACGTGTAAATTAAAATGCAATGTTCACTTTGGGTTGAACTCACTTTTCTTCTCCTGTTGAGGAGCAAACCTCTGAATAAAACCCAGCTATTTAATCCAAAAGTCACGTAAAAGTCAGAAAGAAAACCCGTATTCAAAAGCTGCCTTTTTATATCTGAATATGGAAAGAACAGAGAGCAAGGGAGCCCCAGTGAGGACTGCCACTCCAGAGGTGCACAAAGTTAGACAGGAAAGCCAGCCACAGTGGGGCAGAACGGCTTGATCCAAAGGCAGAAATGGAAGCCTGCCAACAGCAGAAGCTCCCAACAAAGGGCTCTCTCTCCTCACCACGTTCCTCCTGCATACACTGGCAGTCTTCACTTCCTGTTGCCGCCCAGATTCACTACCACCATCGTGGCTAACAATCTACTCCAACACACCCTAAGACCTGCCCCCATCGCCTCTCGGCCTGTCTGCCAACTGTACCTGCAATCTTTATGGCTACGGGATCCTCTGAAACTGGAACAAGCCCTTCTTTGACTTCCACCTGCTTTTCAGAGGCCAGGGGAGATGGAACAGGAGGGGAACACTTAGTTTCCACATATGCCATGGGTGAGGAGGACGAAGGTTTAGAATCATGGAAGAGGCTAGCCCAGGACTTGGTGGGCTGGCTGATGGGAATGGCGCCAGACACAGAGGCTGTGCTTTCAGCAGGAGGAGACTGACTCTCGGGCTTAGCAGGGTCCGAGTCTATGTTTTCCGCCGTGTACGGCTCCACCCCATTGGCAGCTGTGTCCTCGCCCAAGGGTTCAAGTATTTTTCCATTAGCAACTGCAAGGTTCTCAGTAGTATCGGCGCCAGGGTAGGGCTGTGTCACAGCTGTCCTTAGGGGGCTGTCCTCGGGGAGGCAGGGATGCTCAAAGTCAGTCCCTTGGCAGCCCTCGGGCAGCCCCGCAGTCCTGGCATCGCCATCCAGTGCTCTGGGGAAAGAGGCATCGGGCACGGTGTCACCGATGCAGTCCACGGAGTTCTGAGGGCCGTTACAAGTCCTGGGCGGGCCTGAGGGGAGCGCATCAGCCATGAACTCTGCATCGTCCATGCCCACGCTGTTCGTGACCACCGAACTGGCGTGGCCATTGACCAGGGCTTCTGGGGAAACACTCTCATCACCGCCGTCCTTCAGGTAGCTGTAATACCCAGGGGGCCGCTTCTTCTTCTTCTTCCGTTCCCTCTGTCCAAGACCACCAGAGCCACCATCATTCTCCAGGGCCTCGGCCTCCACATTAGAGCTGCTCTCCAAAACGAGGGCAGAGCCCGGGTACTGGCGGTCAAGGGAGCTGTAGCTCACATCTTTGCCCAGGCCATCCGGGGTTTTTTTGGAAGCTGTGCAACCAAGAATAAATTCAGGCGCCTGAGGGTTCAGTGTGCTTGAAATACTGTAGCTGGGGGTTCTCGGCAGAGTGTCACTGGACTCAATTACTTCATTAACGCCAAACTCTATTCTCTGGTATTCTTGTCCTGTTTAGAAAAAAGTAGTTAGTAACTAGCCCATCAGTCAGGAACACAGCACTACAAACAGTAATCACTCTTTTTCTTTTTGGTAGTGAAACCTTACATTCTTTTCCTAATTAACAAACAACCTGCTGAAAATACTAAGTATAAAATTACATCTAATTGGGGGATATGAAGAGTAGAAGCCTAGCCTTAGTTCAGTTCTCCGGGTAACTAATGACTTTCAGAGTCAAAGGGTAGAAATGAAAATAAATTTGTAATAAGAAAAAAGGGGCCGGGCACGTGATCCCAGCACTTGAGGTGTGGAGGCAGGAGGATTTAGGAATTCAAGATCACTCTAGGCTACTTACATGGCAGGCTATGCTACATGAGACTTTATTTTTCTCCCAATAAATAAGTGAATGAATAAATGTTATATTTTGCCTGTTAAAAAACACTATTCAGGGGGCTGGAGAGATGGCTCAGAGGTTAAGAGCACTGACTGCTCTTACAGAAGACCTGGGTTTGATTCTCAGCACCCACATGGCGGCTAACAACCATCCGTAACTCCAGTTCCAGGGGATCCGACACCTTCTTCTGACCGCCTCGGACACTGCACCACACGGGTGCACTTACATACACACAGTAATACACTCATACACATAAAATAAAAAATATTTTAAAAATTAAAAAAACAAGGCACTATTCGGGTTGAAAGGAACAGCCCAGTGACAGAGAACATACTTAGGCTCTGTCACCGTTTCACATAAACACACACAAACATGCTGGCTCACACCTGCAAACTATCAGGAAAGAAGACAGGAGAAGTCCAGGTTCCAGGCTGGGCTACACAGTGAGACCATGTCTCAAATAACAACAAAAACGAAAAGGAAAAGCCTCTCAGGAGGTGGACTTCCTCCCAGCTTGCTTCTAGGTCAAGCTGAGTGTGAACTCCAGGAAGCAGTTCGAACAGCCCAGTCATGATGACTAAGGACCTGGAACACTGCTACATCAGCTTTTAGACATCCAGAACCACAAGCTGCACCATCCTAGAGGAAAGACAGCTCCAGAGCCTCCCCCAGGGCTCCTCTCTTGGCTCTCTTGGCCTTTTCCAAACACCTTAACTAAGGTCTGGAAATGGCTCTTGAACGAACAGTGTGACTAACCAGTAAAGGAATTCATGCTCGCTTAGCTCTGCAAATGAAGCCACTTCCCAAAATACTAAAACAAAGTTAGAATTGTGAACTTTTGGGGGAGAAGAGGGAGAATTCTGAGACAAGGAGGCACTATATAACACAGACTGACCTCCAACTGTGGCAATGCTCCGGCCTCTTCCAGAGCTGAGACTGCACAGGTGCACCACCACACCTGGCCAGGACCTGAACTTCGGACCCTCATACTAGAAACCTCCAATATGTACACTTCCCAGTTAAGCAAGGCCTACATCTACATATCCCATGCATGCCAAAATGTGCATGTTTTTCTTGGCTCATCTCTCTGAAAGGTTATTAGAATCAAGTGTCTGTCGGCAGACATGGAGCATTATGTCATTTCGTATTTGAGAAAAGGTTAAACATTTGAAATTAACAAAAAGATGCATGCCTTCCAGCCTAGTATAAAGGGGCAATATTTTCAAGTCCTACATTTCAAGGAAATAATCATAATGCTCTAACATCAGTATGTTAGGGCAGAGAACACATTTTACCTTGGAAGGGCACTTAAGTCTTTACATGGGAAGGAAAGTAAAGTGCTGGCCCAATGACAGGCCAGTCATATGCCAAATGGCACGAGGAAGATGCAGCCCCAACACAAGGTCTCCTGAGCTGCTTGGTGTTCACTGTGACCACAGCTGGGCAGGGCAGGCACAATCCACACCTAAACAGTGACTGTGACTATACCAGTTTACATTTGCCACAGCTGGGCATTCGACAGCCGTTTCCTCACTTTGAACTGGTTTGTTGGCACACACGGGTACAGAGCCCACTGTGCTTCCCAGCCTATCTACTCTGATGCTGAGGCTACAATCCCGCAAGCACTGGAACGAGTGTGCTAGTGGGAAGGCTCCCCGGTGAGACATGTCGTGAAACTGCATTCAGAATTGCGCTGTACTGTGCTGTGTCATGCAGTTCAAACAGGACTGATTATTCCCAGCAGACAGAGCTTTCCGTGCCTCAAATCTCAATCTTATCGGTGCATAAAACATTTTAGGATGTTATGTGGCATCAACAGAACCACTTCAAAATGTCACAGCCATTGCTAAGAGGTGCCCAAGGCGGCAGCTGATGTCAGCAACAACCACAGGCAGAGTCCTAGCCAGGAGCGTCTCTTACTGAGGAAGCTCATGACGGCACCCGTGCCCTCAGCACAGCTCAGATGGAGGCCTATCTAATAGGTGGGAGAGAGGACAGGCCTGCAAATGTGGCTCTAAAGGGCCGGGGCAAACTCGGTGCTGAGGCTGCACAGGCAGGTTTGCTGGGGAAGGAGACAGAGCTCAAGTTAAAAAAAAACAAAAACAGACACCCTAAGGCAACATTTCTGAAAGTGTGTTCCATGAAGTATACATACAACCAGACCAAGGTGCGGGGCAGGGGGCAGGGACCTCCCAGGCAGTGAAGGCAAAGTTCCTGTACTCAGGGGGTTCACATTTACTAAGCAGACGAACACAGCAACTGAGGATGGCAGTGCAAAGATGGGGAAGGGGGACTGAGGACGTGATGTGACTCGGTGCTGGGTAATTGGCAAGTGCGCACAAGGCCTTGGGTTCAGTCCCCAGCACCGCAACAAACACAGTGGAAGGCGAGAGACTGTAACCAAAAGCTTCGTAGAACACTCTTCCCAGACACAGAAAGCAGATCAATTTCCCCAGAAGCTACACAGAACTAACCAGATGGAACAGCAAGAACAGACGCCGTCAAGCTTCACCAACTGCCTAGAAAAGGGGGTGGTGTTCAGTGCAGTCCTGACAGGTGCCCAGCAGGCCGCCTGCCACAGCTGCCTACACAGAGGCAGAGGCAGAAGCATTCAGTCATTCAGCCAAAAACACTGAGGAGTCCCAACATTTTAAGTAGACGCTGCACATGACAGGCATCGTGGCCCCTCCCTCCTGAAGCTGGGCAGTCTAGAGAGGCGACAGAGTCATTACCAGGCAGTTAGCTGCCATGTGGATGCTGGGAACCAAATATGGGTCCTCTGCAAGAGCATCCAGCGCTCTTAGCCACTGAGCCATCTCTCCAGTCCTTCTAACCTATTACTGAATTACCCTTTCCCATAAGGTCTCCTTTATTACACGTTATTATAGACCGGTAAGATTTGTATGAGTCACTTTCTGAGATGGTGCTGTGGATAATGAATAGGTTGGTCTTTTTAAGTTTATATATAAAATCCTTATCACACAAACCTACACAATTCTAATTAACTCCTCATCACACAGACCTACACAGATCTGGCTATCCTAACTAAACATGGAAATTCAATCCCTGGCTCTTCAAGAAAATGATTTTTCTTTCAGGTTCCTGGAGGCTCCGAAAAGCCTTACAATGGCTCTGACTGGAATGATCTGGTGAGTCTGGGCCTGCAACAACTGCACAGGCACGGCATCGACAGTCCTCAGCAACAATAAGCATGGCTGCCCAGGAAGCAGCATGCTCAGTCACCCCTCAGGCTCACAGTGAAGACAGAACAGAGGCAGACCAGGAAGCGGGGCAGGTGCAAAGTCTGTGACTGACAGCAGGAAGAACTCTGGAGTGGCCTTAGCAGGACAGACCATGCAGAGCCAGCCCTGGACCAGAGGCTCGAGTCTACAGCTACAGTGGTGACAAACCCCCAACACTGAGACCTGCAGAGGAAAAGAGACTGGAGTGCCCCGCTCCAGGACTGAACCTTCTGTGTCCAGCACTCTGGGATACAGCACAAACTTTAAAGCACATCTTGCCTCATGGTGACAGTTCACACAAGAACTACAAGCTGTAAGGAAATTTGGATTGGAGCCGGGCCTATCACCCCAGCTATTAGCAAGGCTGAGGCAGGACTGATAGTTCAAGTTCTCTGGGGCTACAGAGGAAATGGTGGTTCAAAGGCATGAAACTGGTCTGGGAGATAGCTCAGCAAGTAAAGGTGCTTGCGAACAAGCCTGAGAATCCATGTAAGAGTGGAAGGGGAGAAGCTACTCCATGATGTTGATCTCTGACCCCCACATACCATGGCACACATGCACCACCACCCCCCAATCACACACATCCAATAAACAGATTTAAATGTAAAATTTAAAGACGTGTATGAATTAGGGAAGACGTATCCACAGGCGCATGCCCACCTAGCACACATGCCCGCTGCTGGGAAGTGATGCAGAAGCTTACCATCAGGCAGTTCATCTTCCACGGGTGTGCTGTACAGAGCTGTCCCGCTGTAGGGAGGGAGCTGCATGAGAAATAGGAAAACAAAGTTTAATTCAACAGACTGTTATAACATGCTTTTTTTAAAAAAAAAAAATTTAGGCCAGTCAGATAGCTCAGTGGTAGAGATGTGTACTGCCCAGTCTGAAGACCTGAATTTGATACCCAGGACCCACAAGATGGAAGGAGAGAACCAAGTCTCACAAGTTGCCCTCTGACATCCAGGTGAGTGAGTGCTGTAGCACATACACACATAAGCGCTCCTTTACCAGCAATGCTATGCCAGTATTCAGGAGGCTGAAGCAGGAGGATTGCTGTGAGTTTGAGGCTGACATGAGCTACACAGCTACCTGCCAGTCTTTGCCGCATAGCGAGACTATCTCTTTAAAATATATATATTCATATATATGTTCATATACATAATATATATGAAATTAATAAGAACATTTACTTTGATTATTGGTCTGACAAAACAGGAATTGTAGAATGACTAAAGACTAGGATGAGTTCCAGCACAGCAAAGCATGTTCACGTTTGCTCTCCAGGTATGTGGCACCTTTCATCCAATATACCACCTTTTTCTTTGTGGTAAGCAGCTACAAGAAGCAGTCGAAGTTCTAATCAAGGAGCTATTTGTAAGAATACAGAAGGTACCAGTTCTGGTGGCTCATACCTGGAATCCTAGCACTCAAGAGGCAGAGACAGAACAATCATCATGAGTTCAAGACCAGCCTGAGGGACATAGTAAGTTTTAGGTCAGCTAGGCTACATAATCCCAGCACTCAGGAGGCAGAGGCAAGGCAGATCTCTGTGAGTTCAAGGCCAGCCTGGTCTACATAGTGAGTTCCTGGTCAGCTGGGGCTACAGGGAGACCCTGTCTCAAAAAGACCAAAAAATAAAATAAAATAAATAAATAAATAATAAAAGAGTTAAAATCAAAGCAAAAATCTAATTGCCCACACAGGTAGATGAGCAATGTAAAAATCTGGATGTGGTGGATACGAAGTCAGATCAACAATGTCAGTCTTCTGCAGAGAAGCCCGAGGCCCTGGAAGGTAATGCTCCACTTCCTCCAGGTGCTTCAGTGCTGTGCTCCTGTCCAAAGGCCCGTCAGGAACCAGAAATCCCCCCTCTGGAAATCCCATTAAGACACCCAACTAATGGGGCTGGAGAGATGGCTCAGTGGTAAAGAGCACTCAGTGCTCTTGCAGAGGACCTGGGTTCCGTTTCCCAGTGCCCATGTCAGGCAGGCAACAAATACCTGTAACTCTAGCATGAGGGGATCCAATGCTTCTGGTCTCCTTGGGAACCTGCACCCATGCATGCACCCACATGCAGATATACACACATACACATAATTTTAAATAAGAAAAGTAAATTTTTTTTTCAATTTTATGTGTATGCATGTGTTGCCTTCCATGTAGGTCAGTGCACCCATGGTGCAATGCCCACGGAAGTCCGAAGAGGTTGTCAGATCCCCTGGGACTAGAGTTATGGACAGTTAGCTGCCATGTGGGTGCTGGGATTCGAACCCCGGTCTTCTGCAAGAACAACCAGTGTTCTTAACTGCTGAGCCATCTCTCCAGCCCCAAAAGTAAATATTTTTAATAAAAAAGACACCCAACTAAGAAAGGTCTTTCATCTTCCTCAAGATCCCCCTGCATACACAAACACATACCAGCACATGCCTAAGCCTGTGTGCATCATAGATTACTCAGCACTGCATAAATATAGTGCAGTAAAAAAAAAATGGCACCCGGCGTGGTGGTGCACGCCTTTAATCCCAGCACTCGGGAGGCAGAGGCAGGCAGATCGCTGTGAGTTCAAGGCCAGCCTGGTCTACGTAGTGAGTTCTAGGACAGCTGGGGCTACAGGGAGACCCTGTCTCAAAAA